ACTTTGATTTTTTAAAACTCTCTTTTGACCAAGAACTCTCTTTGACCGGGTAGGTGCATACTAAATGTTCTTTGATTGGTTTTTTTTGGAATTCACTTTGACCAAACTCTAACCGCTGAATTATGTTTTTTTTTAGAATAGAAATTAATTTTATGGACATGACTCTGGACATTGGTTGGTCACAACAGTTGTGTGCGGGGTGGGGCACATAACACACACGCTTTTAGTTAGCTCTTTGAAACTTTAATTTGACCGATCTAACAGAATTATAGGTGGATTTTGAAATTTTCTTTGATCACAACTCTCTTTGGCCAGTAATCTTTGACCAGAACTTTTTTTGGTGTGTGTACAAAGAGAACTTTGATTTTTTAAAACTCTCTTTTGACCAAGAGCTCTCTTTAACTGGGTAGGGCATACTAAAAGTTCTTTGATTGGTTTTTGAAATTCGCTTTGACCAAGCTCTTGAACCGCTGAATTATGATTTTTTAGAATAGAAATTAATTTTACAGTATGGATGTGACTCTGGACATTGGTTGGTTATGACAGTTGTGTGCGGGTGGGGCACATAACACACACACTTTTAGTTGGCTCTTTGAAACTTTTATTTAGCCGATCTAATAGAATTATGAGTAGTTTTTAAAATTTTCTTTAATCACAACTCTCTCTGACCGGTAATCTTTAACCAGAACTCTTTTTTGGTGTGTGTATAAAGAGAACTTTGATTTTTTAAAACTCTCTTTGACCAAGAACTCTCTTTGACCGAGTAGGTGCATACTAAATGTTCTTTGATTGGTTTTTTGAAATTCTTTTTGACCAAACTCTTAAACTGCTAAATTATGATTTTTTAAAATAGAAATTAATTCTACAGTATGAATGTGACTCTGAACATTGGTTGGTTACGACAGTTGTGTGCGGGGGGTGGGCACATAATACACACACTTTAGTTAGCTCTTTGAAACTTTTATTCAACCAATCTAATAGAATTATGGGTGGATTTTGATTTTTTAAACTCTCTTTGATTAAGACTCTCTTTGACTGGGTAGGTGCATATTAAAAGATCTTTGATTAGTTTTTTTCTCTACCACTGGATTATGAATTTTTTATAAGTGACTCTGTACATTAGTTGGTCACAACAGTTTTGTAAGAATTTTGTATTGCAATTTGTAATTCTGAATCAGCATTAAACTATCGTTTAGAGTTGAAACTTAAAGAAGGATTCTGAATAATTTATTTGTAATTCTGAATTAGCATCAGACCATCATTTAGAGTTGAAACTTAAAGAAGGATTATGAATAATTCTCACATTTAATAACGTAATTCCAAATTTTTCCTTCATCAATTTGTAAGTAATCAGCTTTCAAGAAATTTTTAGTTGGCTCTTTGAATCTTTGATTCGACCAAATAGATAGAATTTTGGGTGGATTTTGAAATTTTCTTAATCAAAACTCTCTTTGATCAGATAATACTTTGGTTAGTTTTTTGAAATTCTCTTTAGTACAAAGAGAACTTTGATTATTTTGAAATCTATCCTGCTAAATTATGAATTTTTTAGAACTCCTAAACATCGGTTGGTCACATGTTTTTTGAAAACTTTAATTCAACTAAGTAGATAAGTACTTGGTGGATTTTGAAATTTCTTTGACCAGAACTCTCTTTGATCGGGTAATAATTTGGTTGGTTCTTGAAATTCTCTTTAACCAGAACTCTCTTTGATGTGTACAAAGAGAACTTTGATTGATTCTTTAAAAACTTTAATTTGACTGAGTGGGTGTACTAATAGGACTTTAGTTAGTTCTTTAAAATTCTCCTTCATCTCTGGTTGGTTTTTCTGACCGGAATAGGTGCATCTAATAGAATTCTATTTGACCAACCCCTAATATATACTTAAAACTAGTTTTATATATATACTGAAAAAAAACTTAATTGACTAAATTAAAAATATTTGATAATAATTGATGATTATTATCACCTTATTATTTACTTTATTAGACTAAACATCAAAGGTACAATACAAAAAAAAAAAAAATTCAACCAAATTGAAATTACAAAAAAACAAAATGCCTTATGGCATCCCAGTGAGTACAATTGTGTCTGATTTTTTTTGAATAAATTATGACATTTGAGCTAAAATTTCTTTATAAACTTTTGACCTAGCCTTATTAATATTTATTTTATTTAATATTATTGTTACTTGCTTTTCGTACTCTTTAGTGTAATAGTACCAGTGCAATATCTCAGCTTGATTGGCTTGTTACTTGCACAACTAGCTTTTTTTTTTTTTTAGTCTTCTTCTTCATAAGGAGTCATTAATGCCCTAGATGTAGCACAGATAAAGTGATGCTGTAGGTGTTGTGATAGATCTTGCAGGTATTGTGATATATCTAGTATGTAGATATTCAATAAAATAGTACTGTACGGCAGCCGGACATATGAAAACTATACTAAATTTTGATTGTATATACAGTTAATATATTAGATATCACTTTCAAATTTCCATTAATTAATAATTGACATATGTGAATTTAAATTTTATACTGATTAAAATGTAACATAACATATATTAAATCTAAAGTATATTTAATAAAAGTATTTTAATTTAAAAGTTTTTTTTAAAAAAAATTTTTATTGCAAAATGTCTTCAAACTTTACTACTTTACTATATCCATAGAACTAGTAAGATATAGCAGATATAAAAGTATGTGTATTTGTTGGTGGCAATCAGAGGCTATACAAGCTAACCAATCACCACTAAACAACACAGAGATGATTTGATTTGGCAAGGATAAGGCTAAATTGGGTTGAGCGAACTATCTCTGCTCTTTATTAAGAGCAAAAAGAGCTCATTTTATACAATTTTTGTATATGCAAAGAGAAAGGAAAAAAAACAAAATCAATTTTTTTCTAATCTAAGTCTGGCAAGCATGCCACTTTTGACTTTGCTTGGCTCTCTGTATGAGCTTTTCCATGAGGCTTACTCCTTTAGCCTTATTTACTGCATCTTGGGGCTTTATAGAAGCTTCAATTTAGGGTCTTTTGTTGTATTTTTAGGCTAAATTCGACGTGGCAAATTAAAATTTGAACTAATAGACTCATTTCGACAAAGAGACAAAATAGGCTAATAACTAATACACTTTTTATAAATAAAATGTCAACATAAAGTATCGGACTAATAAAATCTAAGCATTATCAATTTCATTTATATTAATAGTCTTTCGGGGTATTTTGAAAAATAATTTTAAATTAAAATTTTTCATTCGAGCTTGATAAGTATGAAAAATTAACAAATAGATATTTATATATATAAAAGAGCTTTGAAGATTTACAATTAAAAGTTTTACTTTATGTTATATGTAGTGATTATATTAAGAAAAAAAATCTGATTTCACATTTGAATACATTATTAAATTTAATTTAGAAAGATATTATCGAGCATGATCAATCATTCATGATTGATCAAAAAAGTTTTGATCAATTACTACCTCTAGCCAGTAAATATCTTGCTAAAGGATTGGACCCCATAATAGTTATTGTAACAAAAGTCATGATACTTAGATAATAATTTTTTTTCGTAAAGACAATGTTTAATTATGCTATAAGGTTTTGAAAAGTTCAATACATTTTATTGCTCTATAATAGTTAATTATGATACAGTACTAAGTTATGAATTTTTTAAAATAGAAATTAACTCTATAGCGGTGTGGGCACATAACACACTTTAGTTGGCTCTTTGAAACTTTAATTCAACTGATTCAATAGAATTTTGGATAGATTCTGAAATTCTCTTTCTCTTTGACACCAAGTGATAAAATCAACTAACTAATCTATCAATTTTACAATTCAAGACTCTTAGAATAGGCTAAAAGAAGGTAGAGAAGCTTGGTTAATGTCTTTTCGAGCTTGCTGCAGCAATACTAGCATTTCGATAGTGTAATTTTTGAATTATATCTTTGATTGCTTGGTTGTAGGCTTTAGCAGGAAGCCAAAGATAATGCCTTCTTTCAGGTTTTGACTTATTGGGGTTCCAGTTTTCAATACAATTGTTAAGATTCTTAACGATTGTCACATGAATCATGTAGTTATTGTGGTTTCAATTTAGAGTTAACAATAACGTAGATCAGAGTTTAATCAATTGTTAATTTGTTATAAAAGAGATTTTGGATCACTAATCGATTCTCTCTCTTTCTCTCTTTTTTAGAATAGAAATTAACTCTACTCTGGATATTGGTTGTTTACAACAGTTGTGTGGTTCTTTGAAACTTTAATTCGACCGATCTAATAGATAGAATTTTTGGTGGATTTTGAAATTTTTTTGACCAGGTAATACTTCGGTTTGTTCTTTGAAATTCTATTTGATCAGAACTTTTTTTTGGTTCTTGAAATTCTCTTTGACTAAGCTCTCTTTGACTAGGGTACATACTAAAAGATCTTTGATTGGGTTTTTTTTGAAATTCAACTCTTGAACTGCTGAATTATGATTTTTTTAAAATAGAAATTAACTCTATAGACGTGACTCTGAACATTGGTTTGTTACGACAGTTGTGTGCGGGGTGGGGCACATAACACACAAGCTTTTAGTTGGCTCTTTTGATTACAACTCTCTCTGACTCTTTTTGGTGTGTGTACAAAGAGAACTTTGATTTTTTAAAACTCTTTTTTGACCAAGAACTCTCTTTAAC